GAATGCTTACATACATTTAAGTTGGGCTGCTCAGGCGTCACCACCTCTGAGAAGCCCTCCTTTCCTGTAGAGGCAGAGCTAAACATCCTCCTTTAATTCCCATAGCTTCACCTCTCTTTCTGCTGGAGTTGTATTGCCTATATAGAGGATCAGCTATATAACTGGTGGGGACCCTTATTAAAAATAATTTATAATTTCAAGAAGAAAACTGCAGAGCATTAAATCAAGCAGGGGACCCTTTTGAGCCTGACTGCACAGATTGCTTGCCCAGGAAGCCTGCCCTACCTTTATGTTCTATCTCGCCCTGGAGATTTTGAGATCATGAAGAACAAGGGTCTTTGTCATCTGTCACCCCAGCACTCAGCTCAGTGCCTGACACCATGTAGGCCCTTCAGTGACCCTTAATTAAGCACTGCCAAGGTTCCCTTCAATGTACTAAGTACTCTATACAATGTATGGAGTGTCTGTAACCTTTCTGGGGAGAGGTGCCATTCTTATCCCCATTTTATAGATGGAAAAACTGAGGCTTAGAGAAGTTAAGTGCATTATTCAAGTCACATGACAAAGAGCTAGGATGTAAATAGGCATGACTCAGTGGTTCTCAATTGATTATCCTCCCTAACCACACCCCACCCTATGGACATTGGCAATGTCTGCTTGTTAACAATTTTTAGTTGTCATAACTGGGCAGTGCTACTGGCATCTAGTAGGTAGAGGCCAAGGATGCTGCTAATGCACAGAATAGCCCCACAACAAAGAATTATCCACTTACAATGTCACTCGTGCTGAAGCTGAGATCCCCTGTTCTGATACCAAAGCTCACATTTCATAAATTCAGTTTTCAGTACCAGACACTTCATATTCTTTTCTTCATTTGTATTTCATCAATAAATACTATGATGTCTTTATTATTTTTCTTAAATTGACTTTAAATTAATGGACTTAAAGGATTCACTACACCTTAAACACTTATGTCCATGAAGCCATGTGCTGGATGCATCATTATTTTTTTTTTCTGATATACATTGAAATAAATATAAAACGATTTTAAAAAATCTTTGTTGGGGTACCACCGAAAAACAAATCACGTACCACCCCCAGTCTGGGGGAACTATACTTTAGACTCGCTTCACTTCTTCTATACGGCTTCTCTTCTCTCTTTAGGACAAAAGAATAACATATATCATAGTGGGTGTTGCTTGAACCTGGCAAGGTGCTAGGTACATTCAGGCTTCTGTTAGAGGAGGTCATTGAGAGGCCGTGACCAGAGGTTGACCCTCGGGCTAGACCCAGGCTATCGGAGGCTGCTCACCCCTCCCCTGTCTTGGAAATGTACATTCTGTCCATTGTTCCTGCAGTTTCAAGGCTGTAGCCTTGCAAGAGTAAGTTGTTGAGACCATCCGGATGGTGCACGTGACGGAACCCCATTGAGTCCTCTATTTGAACTAGTGGGAGGGTGTGGCAATCTCCTCGCCTTGGCCTTGTCATGCCCAAGACAAGCCTTGTAGGTAAGTTCTCCTGCATGTTAAACCTGCCACCCACCATTGTGGCGCAGCCTGGCTTTCTTCTCTCTCCTTGCCCTCTGTGTTATGGGGCCAGTTTCAGATTTCACCCAGGGAGCACTTGAAGTTTTGAATCAACAGCTTCTGTTTTATCTTTTTTCCCCCTCAAGGCTAACAGTTGCTTAGAAACCTCTTTGAAACCCTAAAAGCCATCTGATGAGATTTTGAGGGCCATAGCACAAATGATCTAATTTGCTTGTAGACATTGGTTGCAGGTCCTGGTTAGCACATATCCTTTGTCACGTGGCTCTCTCCTCTAATTGTTGGGGAGTACAATTTCGGTCTCTTTGTAACATGCTCTGTAGTCTGACATAATTAAGGCTAGAGCAAATGAAAGATTCTTCTTTGGATATTAAGAGTGCCTGTGTTGTAAATAATAATGTCATCATCTCTTTCTTAGAAAGTACTTTCATTAAGAGTTGCATTTTAATTGCAACACATCTGCATGAATTCATTTGGATAGGGATGGGGGGTGGCCTTTGATGATGATTTTTCATCTTCCATGAACTTCCCAATTGTTTCAATTAGGAAGTTTACTCCCCTTCTCTCTCTACCGCCCCCTCCCCCCCGCCCCCAACACCAGGAGCCCTGGAAGATGTTCCAAACAGAACCATGTTTCCAATAATCATGCATCTATGAGGAGGCAGTGACTATTTACTGACCGGAAAGACCCAGAGGGCATCGGCTTTTTTCCTTTGAGGAGTAAAATGAACCAAGATGATTCCTCCTACTTCGAAATAATTTTCAAATGTTTGGGAAACAGGCTCCGGCAATTTCCAGGGGGCAATGGCAGCCACAATAGGCAGGGCCAGAGGCAATTTGATTCGGGCAAAGCTCAAGGGATAGAAGGTTGAAAGTTTGGAATCTGGCAAATAAGCCACAAAGGGCTTCTCTCTGAAGCACAATCCTGCACTCCCTTTGTCACAAACAGGGGGCAGTCTCTGTTAATTAAAGCGGGAGCAGCAGCTACAGCCAGGCTCCTCCGAGGACCCGACTCAAATGTCCAGGCGACAGGCAATATTTCACAGTGACTGGATTTCATTACAGGTTTAAAAATAAATAAATAAATTTGTAAATGCCTTAAAACCCCCAACTCTTGTGGGAAGGTGTCTAGACCTATTCTTCTACCAGGTTCTTGCCCTTGGCTCTCAGCCCTGATGCCTGCTGGGAAGTGCCAGGGTGGAAATGCAGTGAGGTGGGAGGGCAGGAGACTAGAGATGAGAAGTCTGGCAGTCTGTATTCAGCCCTGGCTTTCCCATGTACTGCCCTTGTGACCTTGGACAAAGCTCTTAACTTCTCTGAGCCTCAGCTTCCTGGGCCTTAGCAAGCCGGCTGGGGCAGCTCTTTCCAGTTCTGACTTAGCATGTAGAAATATGCCAACCCCTCTGCAGAGGTCATAACAGCAGAAGTTCTAGTCTGTCCCTGCCTTGGGTTCTTTTTTAAAATCCTCACTGGAGGATATGTTTTTATTTATTTTAGAGAGAGAGGAAAGGAGAGAGAAACATCGATGTGAGATACATGTATTGGTTGCCTCCCATAAGCTCCCCAACCAGGGATCAAACCCACAACCCAGGTATGTGCCCTGACAGAGAGTCGAACCTATAACCTGTTTGAACCAACTGAGCCACCAGGCCAGGGCCTGTGTTCTTTTTTCTTGGTTTAAGACAAGGTCTTGCATGAAAGTTCTTAATTAGTTAATTATTATTATTGTTTTTTTATGTTTCCCTCTGTTCTAGACTCTGTGGGACTCTGCAAGGGTCAGGGCCATTTCTGTCATGAAGTTACATTTCAATGTGGGGGTGACAGAAAAAAATAAACGCATTATCTAATGTCAGTGGATGGAGCCTGAAGGCCTATTTTGCCGTGGTTACAACACAGGCCCCTGGGTCAAATTTCTTGGGTCAAAAGTCAACGGCACACTTCTTTGCTGAGCTACCCCGGGCAACTGGTTTAATTGCTTTGGGCCTCAGTCTCTCCCTCTGTTGTGTGGGCCTGGTAATATACTACCTAATGAATAGAGTTAAATGAGATCTGTCACTCAGTGGCTCAGCAAATATTCCCAGATTGTCTGCTACATGCTAGGCACTGCTCTAAGCATCTGTGAGGAGCAAGCTTCGTGGGGATGTCGCAAGCACTGAATAAATGTCAGCTATCAATAACTCTCACACACCAGAGCTGTGTTTGTAGAGAGTCACACAGTGGTAGTGGGTGTGGGTCCACAGACATGCCACACTGTCTTATTTTGGGGACCCGGTTATGATGAATCTGATGAATTTAGACTCACAATCTCACACCTTGTCTGGGTGTGTTTGGGACATAATACAGCCCCATAATTCAGTGCGTCTTCCAGGACTGATATACTCCTGGATATGCTCTGTCAATGTTGCCCTGGTGCATTGTTGCTGGAACAGGATCACTCTTTGCAAGTCTGAGCAGACAGTAAGTAGGTGATGTGTCTTCAAAGACACACAATTGGCTCTCACCCCCCAGAAAACTTGCAGTAGAGCCCCGATGCACCTGCTTGCTTTTCCAATTAAGGGGACCCCAGTATGTCATTTTACTGGCCCCAACTCCCCGAAAATGCTCGGAGAAGAGCTTGACTGCAGCCAAATGGAGAGGAAAGTGGTGGAAACATCTTATCACTGCAAATAGCCCCGCTGACTGCAAAGTGTATACTTAGTTAATGCAATTAAAAAACAAAACGCAGGGGCGTGTGGAAATCTAAATTTGGTGTAGCAGCTTTGGTACAAATGCTGTTTCGGGGGCTACTGGAGTCAAATTCAAGCAGAGGAGAGAAGAAGTGGGAGAAATGGGAGAGGGCTGACGATGGCTGGAATTGGCTGAGTTGAGAGAGGGCGACGCAAGGCTGGAAGCCCAGGAACAAGGCCAGCTCCGCAGCCCTGGGTGAGGATGACCGGGAGTGGGGTATGGTCGGGGCTGGGTGGGACCGGGGCCAGTGGAGTCTGGGGACCGGTGCGCGGGCTCCAGGTCCAGGAGGGAGGCGAAGATTGGGTACACAGGCCTTGCACTGCGCCAGATCTGGGCGCGCAGAGGCGGCGCCTAGGTGAGCCCTCCTGTGGAGCGCAGGGAACGCTTCGAGGGGGAAGAGAGACAGCAAAGTGGCAGGTACGGGGGCCTGGGAGAGTCCCAAGGAAAGACCTTCAGAGGCATGCTATTGCTTCGGTCTTGTCGGCTGCCTCTCCTGACCCTCTGCGCCTCTTTGACTTTAGTTCAGCCCAAGCCCCCCTCCGGGGTCTTACCCCGGCCCAGGGGTTTGCCACCCCGCCTTCCCAGCTCAGCCGTGGTCCTCACCTCGGCCCAAGGAGTGGGGCCATCCCGATGGCGTGTCTGGCTGGAGCAGGAAGGGCAGAGCGGCCCCGCGTGCCTGGGAGGGGCGATCCTGATCAGACTGTCTCTGTTGGAGTGTAAGCCAGCTAGTCTGTCCCTCTCCCCTCCGAGGCACCCTTTCCCCGTTGGGCAGATTCGAGCCGCAGCTCCAGCGCCCGCATCCCAGAAAAAAGCCAGGGGCGGAGCCGCCTCTGCACCGGGAACAGGTCTGAGCCGCGCCTCCAGCCCGGAGAGGGCGCGGGAGGTCCCGCCGTCGTCCTCTACCTGCCGGGAAATCCGAGCTGTTCCTCCGGCGGCTGCGAAACTCCCTTCTACCCGCCCGCCAGCCAGG